ATACTTCGGATCGCACCATTTCTAAATTCAGAAATAAAGAGGTCCTCTCTTGACTTATGATCGGTTGCTGACTGTTCTTTGTCGCCTCAGCCTAGTCGAGCCTCACGACTCATCCCGCCGAACCCTCCGTCCTTTTTAGCCACCCGATAAACAGCTGACTGCCTGGACAAGCATCAGTCCTCCACTGGTACTGCCTGCTTGTTGGTCAGTCCGCCGTTCTATCGGCACCTTCATATAGCCTCTTTCATATCCTTTTGATGATCAAGATGTACCCTGTTTACTCGATCTCTTCTGTTCCGATCGCCAGCTTTGCAGAATCCTCAGCCCCAGATCTTCAAGCCTCCGTCAACTCTGTTATGTTTGTTTAAACAACAGACCTATACAGTATCTATCACTCTTGAAATAAGCTTAAGTCGGTATATCGCGACCTACGCATACTTCTCAAACGTGATCTTCTCGGCTTTTGATCTACTACGGACTCTACAAACGGTGATCGGACTCGTGGACGTTGAACACCCTCCATCTATCCTGCTACAATTACACCTTGACCTCTTCCGACTCCTAATATCTTCGACGTCCATACCTACTTTGAATCCCTAACCTCCTCTCCTCCCTCGTCGCCACCTTTTTCTTGACAAGCTGGCGATCTCTCACAACTAAGGCACGCCGTCGCCTGTGAAAAAAAGACGGTATTTGTCCTACTGGTACCTCGTTAACGGTTATTTGCGCAACGGTTTTTTGACAATATCACGGTTCAAAATCGCCCATCCCTTATTTATAATATTCGGTTCCGAGGATCGTATAACCAAAACCGAGACTACTTCTGATTTCGGATAGTGGTGTACGGTTTTTGACTATCCCGAATATGACAGGGATGGACGTCTTGGGTTTGAGGGACTCAAACCCGAGCATTCAATACAAAGCGCCCTATGCGCATCCTTATGCTTCGTCGATCTCCTCCTCGGCGTCTTCCTCATCTTCTTCCGTCTTTTCCTTGGATTGTGTATCCAACCAGAGTTCCATCTCGTCGACTTCTACGAACCCGGTGGACGTAATCTGGGAAAATGAAGGCGAATACCAGGTGGCTGGAAGAATCTTGACCTCTGCGACTAGCTCGCGTGGCGGTGTGAGGGGTGTGTTGCCCAAAGCTACCGATGCGGCGGTCGCGCCTGAGCTGCGGAGGCATCCTCGGCGCACCAACAGCTGCATGGCTCAGTCCAGCGGCGTCAGTTGTGCCCGACCTCCACCGTGCCTCTTGCGACAGTCGGATCGGAAGGTCAACTTTGTTGACAATCTCGTTGGTGAGTGAATGTTTCCTGTTCCTGATTTCCATCTTTTCTAAAGCTAAATGCTCTCGCCCACGAAGACACCGCCTCGCAGATTGTGGAGATAATCTGGCCCTTGTCAGCGGTTGCATCTCGCAGCGACTCTGCTACAGGCTGCAAAGGTGTTCTGCCCCTTCGCACTTTCATCCAGGAGACTCTCCGTCGGTCGCGCACCAGCTACAGCACTCTGCAGGTTGCCCTGTATTATTTGATCAAGATCAAGGAGCACGTGCCTCGCTACGATTCGGAACAGGAACAACAACCCCGGAGCAAACCGGTCTGCCGCGCCATGCAATGTGGCCGTCGCATGTTCCTTGCCGCTTTGATCCTTGCGTCAAAGTACCTTCAGGATCGCAACTACTCTGCCCGTGCTTGGAGCAAGATCTCCGGCTTGAATACAGCGGAAATCAATCAGAACGAGTTGATGGTTCTTGAAGCGATTGGTTGGAGACTTCACGTTACCGAAGCCACCTTTCAGCGTTGGACGGACATCGTCCTGAAGTACACCCCGGGAGCTGGTGGGGCTTTTACTGGGGAAGGCCACTGCTGGCGAACGGTCATCCCCAAGCTCACCCCTGAACTGGACACAGTGGACGTAGAGCCTTCCACATCCTCTAGTATGGTAGGATTCGAATCGGGCCTTGTATCGGACTCACCTTCTCCTCGTTCCCCGTCGACGGGTGAGCACCCCAGCCCGCCATCCATCTACAATCAGGGATCGGCGTATCAGCGGTACTCGCCCATGTCTACTGGAGCATCGTCTCTTCCCTCCATGCCACGACCACCTATGCTACCAACGCCTCAGTTGACGCCTCAGACGGTCATCGCTACCACTCCTGCTGCGAGTGCTAGCGCCTTCTGTGCCCGCCGGGCTTCCATCTGCGCTGCTATGTCACAAGTGCAAAATGTGTGCATGGCGCGGTCGACTCTCGATCAGCGCCCGTCGCTGGCGTTTTGCCAAAAGGCTAACACGTTTGATGGATACCCGACCGTGGTTCGCAGGTCGTCTCTGGCCCGCTCGACGTCTTCGGCGTCATCCCCTGATTCGATGATTTCCGATGTGTCGACACTGTCATCATCGAGTATGTCATCTTGCTCTTCCGTGTCTGCGCCTGTCTCCTCCATCCTGGGCAATTGCGCCTCCGCCAAGCCTCGCTTGGCTGTGAAGGCAACGCTCCGATGCACCAGCAACTCACTCAAGGAAGGTCGGAAGGCCTTGGCCATCGCGTCTCCTATCGACGAGGGCCCGCTTGGTGACATCTACAGCTCGCCTGAGACCTACTTGGGCGCAGTTGGCCAGGTCCCAGATTTATCCAATATCTCGCTGGGCACTCCTGTTGATCATGAGGCAGCTCAAAGCCTTTGTGAATTGTCGGGGGCTACTTCCCGCCCTGCGCAGACGGTCGAGCAAGGAACGACGGCTCAGCGACAATGCCGGAAACGTGGCCGCACAGGCTCCGAGGACCTTCTGTGGCAGAACCATGTCCGCCACCTGATGAACCTCAATGCGCGGAGCGAGGGCAAGGCTTCGGATCGTTCCATGGGCGATACGCTTTCTGATCCGAAACATCCTCAGTCTCTCTCCGCTGCTCAACTCAGTCTCCTGGCTGTTAGCGCTCCTTTGTCTGGACCAGCTGGCATGAAGCGTGCTTGCTGTGGCAGTGAAGCGAGGAAGATTGCGCTCAACCCCAGCGTGCGATCGGAGTACTTGGGCTAGCTTTGTTGGTGAAACATTCAGCCCTCAGGCTCTTTTCTCTTTTCTCTTTTTCTTTTCTGTAGAAAGGAAAAGTGGCTTTTTTAGCGTATGGTCTAGTCCAACCTATCTCTCTTTTATTTCATATATGATCTCGTCGATCGAGTGACGTTCTTTTCAGGCTTCTCCGATGGCGCAGAGGTGAACAACGCAGGCAACTGGTGGGAAAAAGTTCTTTCATGCAGCGAACTTTTTATCTCGAGTTTTTCTTTCTGCGTCTGGAGAAAACGATCTCCGGGTTGTCATGTGTATATACCCTGCTGTTGTTGGGAGTTTGAGACGGTTGTCTGCGTTGAACTCTACGTCTTCGACCTGTTGTTTACAGTGGCGCTGTTACCAGCAGATCTACTGATGTACGATGTATGCCAGGGTGGGTTCTTGTCCCTGTGAGCTACCGCTTAGTCCATCTTTTTATCATCTATTTCTACATTTCTCTGCATCTATTGTCGGTCTTATTACACGAACGGAGTGTGGCGGGCTAGGAAGGGTCTTGTCATGGTTTATCTTTATCTTTTTGTCTCCGCTTTCTTTTATTTTGTTGGATGGAGCAGCGGTTGGGAACGGTCCATCTTCCTGGCAAGGCAAGGAATGCATATCTATCTATCCTAGGTCACAGCTTTGTCCTACTGGCTCACCCAGAGTTCTTGCAAGTTCCCTATGTTTGTTAGCCGTCAGCACCATCCAGTGATGCACTCGACGCACCCAGGATAGCCAATCACAATGTAATCACCTAAGTACCCTTATAATTCTTGGCTGACTTGTGGCATGATCCGATCTCTTCCGCGAGAGGCAGCTGCCTGGTCTCGGAAGATTCAAAGACCAGCAGTTCCTGGCGCCACTCAGTGACTCACCGCATCTTGAAGCTAGCTGACATGTTGAATTTCGGATTTGAGGCTTCACTGGTGAGTCAATCCAGGGTTGCAGCCTGAGGCAGCCTCGGGTGAAACCGGAAGGCCGGAAAAATACTTGGCCACCTCTACAACTGGGCATCGAGCTACGCAGTACGGCCAAGAGTTGATGCTTTTGAAGAGTACAGAAAGAGCAAATTAGGCATAAAATGAAAATAGAGGCATATATAAGAGTAAAATATACAACAGCTGCGATTCACTGGTTCACCTATTCAACCTGGCGCCAAAAGCCACTGGCCTCAACATTTCTCCTACAAACTCCTTCAAGCACGTCAGGCATCAGGCACGGACATGGCTGGACCAGCGGTCGCGTTAGCCGTAGTCTCACCACCAGATAGATAGATAGTTGGCGAGCACTGAGCTTGAGTCACCTGGGCCGCCGAACCCAATCCCATTACGGCCTACAATAGTGCTGTCCCGGAAGACTCCGTCGTCGGACCCGAAGGCGTTGGATGTTGGTAGTTGCAGGACGGGGACGATAGTCTACACAAAGTTTAGATGATAAGCATGTGAAACATTAATTGGATATCTTGAACATACCTCACTTTGTTGCAGTGTCGGCATACCATTCCGGTTTCTGATGAGGAGCCCAACAGTTCCCGGAGACGCGAGCTCCTGTTAACTTTGTCCATTTGACAATAAATCGAGGATGTACCCGGTATATGAAATGGATAGGCTGTTCTGTCATGCGGCACTGACCGAACGGAGGAGTACGAGAAGTGCCACGGCCAACCACTGGGCTTTAGCAGTAATCCTTCACTCGCTTTCCTTCATTATACTTGGCTTTCGCAACCCATACGTGTTTGCCCCCATTGGGGACCGGGTAGTAAAGTGCGGACGTGATGTGTCATCCCTCTTTGGAGGTAATAAGAAAGTTTGTGAAAGGGATCTTTCCTGCCGTCGGCCGCGCTCCATCGAGTTGTCCAGGTCCATCTCGGATTCGTGTTAGGGGCGGGGGGGTGGTGGGGGGGGGGCACAAAACGAATGAGCGCTCTTATTTGTGCTCCATCTTCAATGGAAGTCCTTCGGCAGTCTGTCCTCCACGTGGAAGCCCGCTTCAAGAGCAACAGTGACGGCATCATTGTTCGCACAGATTTGGTACTGCGCTTCCTGTACTTCTCACGGCTTGTGGGGTGGGTATATGATTGCAGGTGTCGGAGATCATCACTGAGGCGTGCCTCCCTGTTGTAGAGTAATCCAGAAGCGGACGTCCTGGTCCAGCTTCGATTTCTGTTCGAGGTCGTCTAGATCTTTGACTCGCAGCCGACTGGCTCGCTGGCCAAGCATACGTCGGAGACAATCCTCCGCATGGTTGCCATCCGACTCTTCCGCAGACTCATTCATGTCTTCCGTATCCGGTGGGCGAGTTTGCGCGGCCAAGCAGGGGTTTGAGCAGGTCATGAAACTGGGCGGCCAACTGCGGCAGCGCCTCGACGAGATTGTTACACTCGATTCACCTTGAGATGGAATGTTCCTGGAACAACGTCCACGCCTTCAGTGGGTCCCGCTGGCCGAGGCAGTGAACCCGCCGACAGCTTGAAAGAGCGTATTAAGGTTGAGAGGGGGCTCCAGCAGGACGACACGACTGCACTGGCTGTGCAGATTAAGCCCGTGGGCTCCACACTGGTACGAAGTCAGGAAGACTGGAGACTCCGACCTCTAGCACCACAGTTGGCCATTTTCGAGAACGGCCCGCTGGTGGACGCTTTGGACCCCGCCCATGGTTGAGTCCCTGACAGTGTCTTCTCAAAGTTTAGGGGAATGCACATTCCATACCGTCACAACCTGCGCCAAGTCCACGGTACTGAGTTCAATCTCCCCTTTTCTGGCGCGGCGGTCGAAGGGTAATTCCGTCGAATGGAATTACAAGAGGGACGCCAGATATGCGAATCGGGTGCTGGGCTGTCGCCAGTCTCTTGGTCACCTCGATTTTAGAGCTTCGCAGATGACGAGGTCCCCTAGGGAGGAGCGGTCAGCCTCCGGAGAAAAGGTTCCCTTGCTGTGGTCGATCGAACGTGATCCGACCGCATGGAACCCATGAACGCCATTGCGCCGCCCTCTTCTACAAAACTAGCTCGGGGTTATTAGAGGGGACGGGTATAGGAAGTAATCGAAGGATTGAACTTACCTGTCTCCTTCGCTGGACCGGGAACATAATGTCAGTCCGTTGACGTCTGAAGGGAGCTTGAATTCGATACTAGCAGACTTGCCAGCTAAGGTGTGCCTCGACTGGGAAAGGGATGTGAAAGAAGGTCATACGAAGGAGATAACAAAAAGAGAGTAGGTCTTACTGTGAATGGCGACCTTCACTATAGTACTTTACTAGAGTAATAGATCAGTGAATCTGAAGAGATATACTTCAGTGGTGGACTGGTGGTGAATATCTGGCTACTCTTATGCATAATTGGACATATACTGGATCATGTTTCCTGCTAGACCATCTAAACTAGAGAATAGTAGGACTGTAGGACTGTAGACCTGATATTAAGCCTTTCTAGTTTCTATACAGCCGAGGTTGACTGTGAGCCTAGCTGCCTGAGGACTAGCCCCATCAGATAAGATTAGATGGCTGGTGGCCCGTTGCTCCTCCTTCCCCTCACGCGCCTTCAGCTCTTGGTCATCTGCACAAAGCCGTGTGTTAGTGATACCAACAGGCCATTAAAAGGGGCTACCTCTTCTCTTCTACAGAGTATTTTCATCCATATGTCCGCAGACAGACTACGTTCATAGCATCTCGCCAGCGAGCCAGTCTTTCAAGTTCTCTCTCGAAAACATGGGTCGTGCCACCCTTTTCTCCGCACTTGCTCTTCTTGTTGGTCATGTTCTGCAAGCGACCGCTATCCCATCCACTCTTCCGCAAGCCGATACTCTCAATCAGGTGGTTTTTAGCGACCCATATCAAGACCAATCTGTTTCATCGATAGCGACGGAAGACAATGTCCAACACAGCGATGCCATCCACATCGGCAACCCCGAGAATATGCGAGCACCATCCTGGTTCACCTCGACCCTCATGGCCCGTCGCCTCCTAGCCCTCTCAACAACGGGCACCGTCTCGACCATCTTCCCCGACCCGCTCCCCGGCAACTCCCACGCGCCCGCCTCCGTGGCCGGTCTCCCCATCAGCCTCCCAGAGTACATTGCCGACTGCGACGAATACCTCCCCGCAGACGTCAGCAACGGCGGCGACGGCAACCCGACCTTTCTCGCCCTCCGCGTCTCAACAACCTTCCGCAACACCGCCGCCGGCTCAAATATCAGCCTCGCAATCGACTGGTGGGACCACTTGAACCAGACCCAGCCCGTCGCGCCCGGGTTCCCCCCTAGCGAAGCAGGTCTCCCGCGCGTCACGCTGATTGGGTACGTGGAGCCGTTTGATACACCTGTGCGGGGGGATACGGAGGCAGCGCTGGAGGAGTGCTATCTGCGCGCGCATCCGGATGCGAGTGTCTGGTTGCCAGGGAAGCCTGGGGCGCCGCATTCGAGCTACTGGGCGAAGATGGTAGTGGAGCAGGTGTATTGGATAGGCGGGTTTGGGGGCTTGCAGCAGATTGGGTGGATGAATGCTACTGAGTGGAAGGGGATCCGGCGTGTGGGGAGTCTGCCTGGTGTTGGGGATGGAAGGGGATGGGAGGATGTGAGACTTCCTGGGGAGAAGGAGTAATCCGTGATCTCTACGTGTTTCAATATGCCGTCATGAAGCGGCCAGAACTGGTGTACAAGAATAGTAAGATTGACGATTAAGATGAACGATCTACACTGTTAACAACACTAGTATCAGGTCAATGGTTGGCCACTATACTGAAGTGTCCATAGTATCCTATTTCATTAGCATTGGGCAATTTGATCCTTTGAATCCTGGCCACTATTTGGTGGATTAGTCTGGCGCGAAGTACATCAGTTAAATGATCCCCTCATTGTCTTTCCAGAAACTTTCTTCGAAGGACTTGTCCTCTTCTAACTGAGGCAAGGACAATCTAATGATGACGCCAATTATCCACCATGAGGGACGCGAAGTGATCTGCACGAATCGCCACACTGGGTTTCCTTTAAGGACCAGACAGGATTCTTATCAGACTTTTAATGGCGTTGCAGTGAAGGAGAATTTCGCCAATGAGACGGTAAATTGATAAGTCGACGGTGCGCTTGGCCTGCAGGGATTCAGCTGGCTTATCAGCATGGCGAGCTGGCTTATCTTGAGGGTGTCAGTCATGGTTTTGATAATTAGGATACATATATAGGTAAGTTCTTCTCTTCAAAAGCCTGGGAAAAAGTGGATTGATGACATTGGCCTTGTTTACTTGATAGACACCACACGATATTTCTCTACTGTGTATGGATGGTGACGCAGAGTACTTTCGACGTTGCATCACCCCTCCCTTGATAAGCCATCTGCATGCAAACATAATTGCTTTTTCTCTTCTTGAATTCTTCATTATTGACCTGTGCTCCGCATGATCTCTCGTTGAACATTTTCTAGTCTTACAGTGATACTCCATCGTCCCACGATGATATTCACGCGACCCCGTCTCCGCGTCGCCCAGCCCAAGTCGGCTTTCGCAGAGGGAAATGCCCGCTGGACCAACCTCGATCTTGATCCTGTCCCTCTTCACCGTCGAAAATGGGGGCCATTGAGTTTTGTTGGTGAGATTCAATAGCTTCATTTTTTGGGTCTTGGATACTGACTCTGAACATAGCGTACTGGATCTCCGACGCTTTCAACGCCGCAACATGGCAGTTCGCTAGTAGCATCATCGCTGTCGGGCTGAGCTGGCGTGAGTCGCTCGCCATCGTGGCCATCTCCTTCTTCATCATCTCCTTCGTCATTGCCGCCAATGGTGCCGTCGGGGCTATCTACCACATCCCGTTTCCCGTCATCGCCCGCGCGAGCTGGGGCTTCTGGGGCTCCTACGTCGCCATCATCTCTCGCGTGATTCTGGCGATCTTCTGGTTTGCGGTACAGAATGTCAACGGGGGCAATGCCGTGCGGTGCATGATCGGCGCCATCTGGCCGAGTTTCCTGACGTTGAAGAATGACATCCCCGAGGACGAGGGCATCACGACCACCGGGATGGTGGGATACCTAATCTTTTTTATTGTGCAATTTCCGTTCCTGTGCATTCACCCGAATAAGGTCCGGTGGCTGTTTGTCGCCAAATCCATCATCGTGCCCATTGCGTGGCTGGCGATTCTCATCTGGGCGTTCGTGGCCGAGGGCGGCGGAGCGATCTTGGACCAGAAGCCCACGGTTTCCGGGTCCAAGTATAGCTGGCTGTTCCTGGCGAATATGACGTCTGTACTGGGGAACTATGCCACGCTCAGTGTGAATCAGGTATGTGATGCATCCCAGAGGTAACGGTGATATGCTAACACCGACACAAGTCCGACTTCTCTCGATACTCCCGCGTCAGCCCCAGATGGCAGCTCCTCTACATCCCCATGCTCCCCATCGTCTTCACCTTCATCTCCTTCATCGGCATCGCCGCCTCCTCCGCCGGCCAGTCGCGCTACGGCGGCGATATCCCCTGGGACCCGATCGTGCTGATCAGCCACTGGACCAGCCGCGCCTGCCGCTTCTTCGCCGCCTTCTCCTTCGCCCTCGCCTCCCTGGGCGTCAACATCTCCGCCAACTCCATCTCCGCCGCCAACGACCTGACCGCGCTCGCACCGCAGTACATCAACCTGCGCCGCGGGCAGATCATCTGCGCGATCCTCTCGTGGTGTCTCGTCCCCTGGAAGATCCTCGCGTCCGCGGGGAGCTTCCTGAACTTCATGTCCGCGTACGCCATCTTCCTCGGCCCCGTCGGCGCAATCATGCTCTGGGACTTTTGGCTCGTCAAGCGGCGGAAGTACGATACCCTGGCGCTGTATCAGCCCTCGAACCCGACGTATCGGTATTCCGCGTGGGGAATGAACTGGCGCGCCCTCGCCGCGTTCCTGGTTGGCGTGGCGCCGAATCTACCGGGTTTGATCGCGTCTGTGAACAGTACCATTCATGTCGGGGTTGGGATCCATCCGTACCAGTTTGGGTGGCTGTTGGGGTTTGTGGGTACGAGTATCGTCTATGTGGGTCTGTCGCTTTGGTTCCCGGCGCGGGAGACCTTGATTGAGCGGGCCGTGCTGGCGGATGAGATTTACGATAGCAGGGGGACGGTGGAGGGGGTTGATGCGGGTTCAGAGGAGGTTTTGGGGGAGGGCGGGGGTCGGGAAGAGAAGATGCTCGGTGTGAAGGACGGGATATTAGAGAAACGAATCTGATGTAGTCCATTCGCTTGTCTATGTAGAAACAGGACTGATATGATATGTTCCTTGATCTTGATCTTCAGCCGCTGTAGGTCATCGAAAGAGTAGTGTTGTATCGTATCCGCCTGCGTGCACTGTTCCGAGGCGTCTTTGACCTGGAGACACAGGCCCAGTCTGATAGTCATTCCTATTGATGACTGTACTGTCCATCGGGTTTGAAAGTGATAATCGGATAGATCGTCGGTGTCGAGGAATTTCCGACCCTGCTTGATGAGCGAGATGCATAGATGTATCGGCAAGCTTATAGCGCCCCGGCAAGTTTCACGGCCCCGGCCCATACGCAATCGCCTCCTTAAGCACCTTACTCACCCCCGCCGAAGCCCGTCCCACCTCCCCGCCCTCACTGCGCGCACCCTCCAAACCGCGCTGCACAGCCCCCAGAAACCGATTCTCAAACACCCGGTACCGATCCTCGCGCGTCTCGTACATCTCGCCCTCCTCATCGCGAGGCTGCCCGAACAGATTCAAATGCACAAATGGCGCCGTCGCCTGCGGAACCATATGCTGCGCCGCATGACACAGCGGGAAGTCCCACCCTGACACCTCGTTGGGTGTATCGGAAGAATAACCCATGCCGTCGTCAGGCCGCCCGATCCCCGCCTGCAGGAACACCGCCAGCGCGCCCAGCACCTTAACCATCGGCTGGCCCTTGGCGCCCGACTTGCCGAACGAAGCCCGACTCCCCGACCACTTGGACGACTCCTCCGTGTGCCAGCCGAGCACAGACAGAAAACAGTTCAGCGTCTTGATCCACCCCCCGGCGCAGGAGACAACTTCCGCGCCTGCGACGTCCACCAGCCAGGAGAGCACCTCGACGGCGGAGACGCGGATGTCGGCTGCGAGGTGGGTCATGCCTGCGCGGATGTAGGGCAGGAGCTGGGGGACGTGGTCCTGGATGTCGTGGGTGGGGAGCGCGCGCAGGAGCCTGAGCAGCTGTGTGCGGACGCTGGAGCTTGCGTCTAGAATCAGGGGGAGGAGGGTGGGGAGGAGGACGCTTACGGGCTGGGGGAGGGGGGAGTCTACTGGCCTTGAGACGAAGGAGGTGGTCAGGTGCGCGAGCGAGTCGCGGCGCTGGGTGTCGGATTTGGAAGAAAGCAGGGAGACATGGTGGGTGAATTGGGCGTCTGATGATGGGGCGGTGATGTGAAGGGATTGTTGGTTGAGGGTGATGGCTGCGATGGGATGTTAGCATTTGCACCTCCGTCTCGATGTGCATGTGCATGTGCCAGAGTCAGGCTGCGTACTTTTTGCGCGGAAACTTGTGTCGGTGAAGTTTTCAGGCTTTGCCTTGGTTTTGCCGACTTTCAGTTTCGTTTTCTGGGATGCGTTAGTGATGCTCTGGTGCAGGCTGATGGCATGACTTACCTGGAAATCCTTCTTCTTTTCCTTCTTCCTTTTCGTGCTGGAGCCCATGGTGACAGAACCCCGGAATATAGACTTTGGGTGCTAAGATATGAATGCTTTGATGGGGAGATGTTCCAGAATCAAGGCCGAGATACTCAATTTTACTCGCCGCTTTGAACCACGCACATGGTCTCGATTTGGGGCTTCCTATGCGACGAGTATCCTTTCCGAGCGTAGAATGATACCAAGTCTTGTTTCAGAGAATTTATATGGTGATGGGGACGTCAGAGCCAATGAACATTTGGGGATATCTTCATTCCCAATCTGATTTTTTGATGAAGAGTCACGTGGGAGCACGTGAGTCTAGCCTGAGGCAGCATTTCACGTCGCGGAAAAAGGCAGACAGAACAATAGCCAATAATATGCGCTAAGTAAAAGCCATACTCTGTATACTGTCATATAATGTCGCCTGAAGATCCAGAAACACTGAGATCATGATTCGACAGCTCGTAGACTTTGTGCTACCAGCCAAGCACTGGGCGTGGAACTCGCATGCGGCAGGCCATTCTTTCCCCTGAATAGCCTTGTTGGCCTGTCATTTCTCTCCAATCAGAGTTTGGACATTGCAGTGGTTGCTTTGCTTGTTTTCTTTGTGATCTCCCAATCATAATTGGCGGCATAACCTCATGGTTCTCTGTATTGGGAGAAGTGGAGGAATGAGGATGCGAGGAGATGATCATTCTTATTATTTTTACCATCAGGCTTTAAGCCATTATTTTTACTCATATATCAATACTCGATCCTTTCTCAGCATGACCTATGTTGTCAGTATGTCCCCTGACAGCTTCTTCCAGGGACAAACAACAGCAAGATGGTCTTCAATGGGCTCCTCCGCTTCCGGATCATCCGCTCCAAACAGATCAAGGAGATCGCACTGAGCGGAGGACATGATGAATCGCAATTTGTCAAGAAACAAACCCTCCTCACCATCAAACAGCTTCCACCATGGTGCGACCCCAACCCGTTCATCCTTTCAGGATACCGTCCCGAGAGCCGATCCTACTATAGCTGCCTCGCCAGTTGGCTCTACTGCCACAACGAAACGGGAAACATCTACTCGCATCTGATACCGGGCATCCTGTTGCTTTCGTCCCAGGGCATCCTGTACGAGTACATCCGCACAAAGCATGAGAACCTCTCCAACTTCGACTGGTCTATCGTCTCGCTGCAGCTTCTCACGGCTTCAATTTGCCTCCTGACATCGACGACGTACCACACCCTGCTGAGCCACTCCGCAGCCGTCGCGCACCGTTGGCTTCAGCTCGACTATATCGGGATTATCGCGCTCATTCTGGGCGACTTCATCAGCGGACTGCATTTCGGGTTCTATTGTAACCCGCGGCTGAAATACTTTTACTGGTCGCTTGTCAGTGCCCTGCCCATATTATAAGCGCAGTTGCGAACTCAACGCTGATATGCGATGCCTGCAGATCCTGGCCTTCAGTTCCGCAACCGCAGTGGCCCTCCTCAGTCCGCGATTCAGGGGCCCCGAGTGGCGCTCGTTCCGCCTGGGCAGCTTCATCTGCACCGGTCTCTCGGCGTTTGCGCCAATCGGCCATGCGTGCGTGCTTTGGGGCGTGTCGTATCTCTGGAAGATAGGCGTGCAGTATTACCTGCTCGAAGGACTGTTTCTGATCATCGGCTGCTACTTTTGGGATGTAGGTTTCTCTGGCTTGTCTGTATCCAGAAGGGAAGGTTGCTGACACAATGCAGAGGAGAGTTCCTGAGAGCCTGTACCCGGGGTCCTTCGATCTCTGGGGCCACTCGCATACGATATGGCATGTCTTTGTGACCTTGTCCATTGGGGCTCATGTCATGGGACTGCTGCATGCCCTGGAGTACAGCTATCGCCAGGCACAGTGTCGGTGATTTCCTCTTTCACAATACTCTTAAAGCGAGAATGACATTGCGTACTGCGTACTTCTATCAAACTCCCATATCCGCATCACCCAGACAGCCGTAATCAAACCCGACCATCTCAACTAGCCCCTACGCCCATTAGCAACCCAACCTCACCTCCCAAACGGAAGGGAACATACCCCGCGACCCACCCCCCAGCGCCTTCGCAACAGCCTCCTGCGCAGCCTGCAACACCCCCTTCCCCTCTTCCTCCTTCTCCCGATCCCGCCGTCTATCTCCCCCTCCAACAGAAGCCTCCCACTCCCCAGCCCGCATCCCCGTCGGCGTATCCGACAACAGCCTCGTCGTGCTCTTGTTATCGCCTGCCTCCCGTCAACGTCAATCCGACTGAGCCAGCTGCGAACCCAGGCATGGGGAGAGTACAAACCCGGCTGCATCGCCTCGGCGATTTTCTCCGCGACACTGCTGGCCGATTCCTGGGTGTGGTCGGCGTAGGACTGGGATGGGTTGTGCAGGGTGGGTGTGATGGGGTCGGTGGCTTCTTCTGTTCGTGTCATTTGGTGTTAGATCTGCCTGAAGGCATACCGGGTAGGGTGGGGACTGTTACCCTCGTAGGAAGAGCGATTGTCGCCCTGGTGTTGGTATTGGTTTTGGTATTTGTCAATGGGTGTGTGTTTTCGGGGTGGGGAGGACGTACTGCCATTCCGGACATGGTGAGTAGATTTGTTTATGCGATGAATTGAGATTTGGCTTGGATGATCTTGATGCTTGTGCTTTGCTTGATACCTAGGTGAGCATGCTATATATGATTGCAAAAGATATTTATTTGCCCAAAGAGAGTGATGTCATGGCCACGCAGGCGTACGGCTTACAGGGTGACTTCATAGTCGGGCATGCGCTCCATGGAAAGGCTTATATTGACCGATACAAAGCTCGGCATACTCTATCTAATTAAGAATAATCTCACGAACCATCAAACAGAAAAGTGAAAACAATCAAACAGAGATGCGCACTTCTGCCCGGCCCCAAGTCTCGACGAACATGCAAAGAACCGAAAAACGAAACAAAAGACACAAACATAAAAGGAAGACTGGGGTCCGGACAGACGCGATTGTATCAAGCAACTGAAATCATCAAATCAACATAAAAACGTAGACAAGCTTGGTGTATCCAATCTCCCGGTCCTACACCGCGGACGAGAGGCTGATCTGGCACGAGTAGAGTCGAATCGTTATCGGCATGCCCACTGAGATCGAGGCTTGGAGGATGCATTGTATTAAAGATGTATCGCGCCCGCTCACAGAGGCCACACCAACCCAAAGGAAAGAGGCATCGTATCACTCATATCAACTATAAAGATACCAGCCACGGTTGTGCCTGACGAACCAGGTTTGCTGCACCCTCTGTCGTAAGATAGTCGTAAATCTGAATCGTGAGGTGCAGTTGGTCAGTCAGGCCGCGGTCAACACTCCCAAACACCTTGTTCGTCTAGCGAGCAACTCCCCCGACAATCTTGTTGATCTCAGATTTGAGCGTAATTCATCACGTCTATTAAGTCATGGTGTAAAGAAAAATATCTCAACGGGCTTAGCGCTGTAGCTCACAAACTCATGGTCAACCACTCCCATTCCTGGCTTGCACCCTGACCACCAGCAATACTATGATTGGCCGGGTTCACCGCTGCCGGAGGCATGGCAGGTGCTAATGGAACCACCTTGGACCGGCCGCCAGATGAAGAGCTGGACTTGTTGCTGTCATCAGCCCCGTCCGTCTCACTGGCTTTCTCCAGACGCCGTTGGCGCTTGGGGGCCACCTGAACAGTGCCACGGCTTTGTCCAGCGCTCGTAGAAGGAGTAGCCTTGGGTGGTGCAGCCGCGATGGGGACCACACCGGATTTGCCCATCGCCGCTGCGGTCCTGCCAGCGGCCGATGCCGCGCCTCCAGCAATGGCCGGCGGAGATTCGGATGTAGTGCCACTCTGTGCGCGGCTCGAAGTAGGTGTGGTCATCGAGGCATGCGCAACGGAGTTCTTGCGGGAGGACTTCTTGGATGAACGAGAGACGCCCACGGTAAGACTGTTGGCGCTACTGCGGTTTCGTTTCTTGATGACGTCTGTCTTCAGCGACAGCGGACGGACCACTCCATGCAGCTTGAGGAACAGACCGCAGGCGTTACAGAGGGGCTGACCCTCGGGGTTACGGCGCCACAGTGGGGTGGTCTGAGTGAAGCAGTTGGTACAGGTGGTTGGCCCAGTACTCTGATCGCCATTCTTGGAGCCACCAGGGCTCGCCGGCCGGGACGGAACAGCACTGCTGAGTCCCGATTCCGGAGGGGTGTTCGGCGATGTGTGGGAAGTATTGTTCATGCTCTGGCGCAGCAGCTGGTTGGTGTTCGGGGTCGACGTGGTGCGAGCAATCTTCTGACGACGAGGGTCCTGCTCGCGGTTGCGCACTTCACTGACCGAAGCAGCGGATCCGTGCGTGCGGCCAAGACTGCCGCCTTGGTTCCACTCACTGGGAGTGTCCATTATGTCTGCCGAGCCGATCGTGACCTGTTTCCGGTGCTGCGCGCTGAATCCAGACAGCGAGTGGAAAGATCCAGGGAACTGACCTTCCCAGTGCAAGCCGTTTAAGTCGCCGGCGTTGTCATCACCAAAATCTGCGGGCATAGCCAGGCCAGCGCGCTCGGAGTAGTTGTTACCATCATCGTCTTCGTTGTCGGAATCCGCACCGAACGAGAATACGCCAGCATGAGTGTTGGAGGTAGGGAAATCGCTTGGGTTTAACACCTGCGTCGGATCGACATGCTGCGACTGAGGGATAGGATAGCCAGGGGAATGAACAGCGGACGACGGGTTGCTGGCGTGGGTCATCCCGTGCTGTTGCTCGCTACTGGTGTTGTTGTTAAACATGTACCGCGGCTGCAGCGAAGCGGACAAGTTCGAACGGTGGGTAATGTAGTTGGGGATACGCCGTTGAGTCCGAGAGTCAATCGAAGGCATATCAAAATACATGGAGTGATCCCCATCGTATGTGGGCTGAGGTGTCGATACGGTGGACTGGTACCCCGACGCAGGAGGTGAAAAGAATTCGGTCGAATTAAGCGATGAGGCAATCGGGGTCTGCGCATATAGGTTCGCAAACGGGTTGGCCGACGCCATAGGAGAGTCGCTGGGAGAGAAAGTAAAGTGCGCCTGGTAAGGCCCGGCCGACGAAAGAACCGGATCTTCGCCCAAGCTGAAAGTGTCCAGCCCAAAGGGGACACCAGGTGACGTGAGGGTATTGTTGTTGTGGTGGTGGTGGTGGTTTTGGGTGTTATGGTGGAGAGCAAATCCAGAGGACGCATTATCAAGGGTGTAATCAGGAACGCCGGCCGACAAATGGGGATCCTGAGCCAGCATGGCGTTCGACACGGGCGGCACCTGCGGAGAGGACTCGGCTGGCCGCTTCCGAGTGGGAATCTGGAGATTGAAGAATTGACGCTCATCGATGCTTGTCTTGCGCACGCGGCGAGGCACATAGCCAAACTCGTTGTTTCTACGCTGGTCTTGAGGTGGGTGAGGGAAGGAGGCTGGCACGGGAGTGGATGCGTCCGATTGGTCCTTGCGGGACTTGATGGGGATCGCCATGGACGAGGTCGCCCCTTTACCTGTTGGAGGTGACCGAGGGCGATCGGCGGGCGACTCGATAGGAACGATGAAGTCGTCGATGTTCATGGGGTCGGAGGCGAGATCGGTGGATGTCGATGGCCGCGCAAAGGAAGGGCGGTCGGCCTGACGGAGTTGGGCAATACCGCTCGGCCCCGAGCTGCCAGTGTTCTGCATCGAAGGGCTATATCGTAGAAGAGAACAAGGTAAGTTCACCATGACTTCAAAATAACGCTATTGTCCAAACATATTGCATCATCAGAAACATACCGATTCTGCTGGAGCCTTTCACGTTCCTTCCGTTTCAAACTCATAGCCATCATGCGCCACGTGAGATTTTCCATGCGCTCCTGGTTGGGTAATTGAGCTTTTGTTCTCGAATAGAGCTTCCATATCTGAGTAGCCAGTGGATCCTTCCGTTGCATCTCATCTGGGCTTTCGACCCCGTGCCGAGGAGCAGCGTTCCTCCACTCGGGAAAGAGAGAGTCCTGGAGCAAACCGTCCTGGACATGAGCGGAGTCGGGTGGACTGATGGAAGAACCAAGGGAGAAATCATCGGACAACTGGGAGGAGTGATGGAAATAGGAAGAGGATGATCGGTCAGCGTCGGCGATGTCGTAACCAGAGGAGGCGGAGGCAGCGGATGGAGTCGGTCGCGCTGCTTTAGGCGCTCCTCCATGGCTCATTCCCGACATTGTCCCGTCGTGGCAGGGTTAAAATGCACCCTGTCGTCTCCTTATTGGAACAAGGAATGCAAACCGAAGGAAAGATAAGCAGACAGAGTAGGGAAATAGATAACACGGTGGATGAAGAGAGCACGAGAGATAAGGGAGAGAGCTGCGAGATTCCAAGGAAAGCAATCGGAGGAGGACAGAGCGAACGCACGGAGGGGAGGGGAAATAATTGTGCGTGTGGTCGATTGGAGGAAGCACAAGCAATTCCACTCTACCCGCCGTAAACGACGAGATCCGAACCCCTGGTCGGAGGTATTGATTTGTCGATCGGCTGCTAGATATTCTTAAGTGCAGAAAAGCCGATTAGTGCTTTATTTGGCTAGGGTCTGGTCGACGACGACGCAATATGAGGGTTGTTCGTTGGACGAGCAGTGGTGGCGGCCTGCATGCAGATGGATGGACGGATCTAGGCGTAGTACCTAAGGTAGGAGGAATATGAGTAAGATGAGCTACGCCATTGGGAATGAAGGATCAAAAGTCCTGCAAGTCCGAACGATGGATGGGTTTTGGAAAAGAAAAAGAAAAAAAAAAAAGAAAAAGCGATATAGCAAGAAAAATATCAGTGCTCAATAAGCAGCTTACCTGGATCAAGTGCAAGTACTTTTGCCCTCTCGTCTATGATTCTTCCTTTCTTCTTGGTCAACTGTTCCCGATTGGTTTATGAGGAACAGATGATTTGTTCTCTTGTGATTCTTGCTTGTAATAGCCTAGAGGCAGGAGGCTAGACCCCTTCAGACACACATGGCCAAAGCAGAATTAAGGTATACGGAACAATATGGGCGAGGGCAAGCAGGATCGAAGCACAGAGGAAGACACAAAGAAAAAAGCAAAGAGTGAGTCAAGAAAAAAAAAGAGGATGAGCTGAAACCCCGGACAGCCAGTCCAAGCGCAGGATGAGTTAGGAGGGGGGAAGGATCCAAGTGAAATAAAGAAAAGGATAAATAAAAGCAAAATTGCAAGAGGATGATGCGAAGGGGAAGAAGGATGGAAGGTAGACGGAAGAGGAGGGGAACGATGAAGATGGATGACGAGGGTGGAGGAACTTACGCTGGACTTGGGAGTCTTGGACTCTCTCCAGATCTTGGGGACTGATGTAAATGATCTGATCTGTCTTGAGATTTTCCTACTTCCCGCCGTAAGAAAGAAGAAATCAAAAAGGAATTCAACCCCGGTCGGAGCAGAAGCATAATATCTGCTTATTATGCATCTGGTAATTCATGATTCTCATATAAATCATCCTAAGACCTAGAGTCTAAGAGCGCAAGACCATTTACACCATGCATATCCCATGTGCTTCAAGTGGGTTTGGCTATTAAAGGTAATTTTCATGCT